AATTAACAGTTAAACGTGGTATATGAAGCACATTCTTTAAAGTAATGTTTGAATTTATCTTGATGTCTCCTTGACCAGCTACTGTTACCAAGGTACCATCTGCTGTAGAAATTTTCTTATTGCTCGGACAAGTACTGTAAGAGATAAAATGACAGCTACTATTCGTCATATGGTCTGTTGCACCAGAATCAATAATCCATGTACAAAGTTTAGGCTGGGAAGTTGTACTCGTCAAAGTTACCGAACCTGTACCTTGACTAGGAGCATTATCCAAAGTTTTTAAGAAGCTCCTTGATTGTTTGATCTCATTTATGTCCAAGTTTTTTGTAATTTTGGACGACTGTGACATTGATACCAAGACTAAACTGCAACTCAAAAATGGAGATCCAAAACTGAAAAAACAGTACTGTACCGAACCGAAAGAGGGCTGAACCGAATCAAAAACAGTTGAATCGAACCAAATCTGACTGAAACGAACTGAAATGAACTGAAACCTGTCGAAACGATCCGACAATGAACTGAACCGGACTGAAAAACGCTGAACCAGTCCAACAACGATTTGAACCGAGCCTAAAGGAGCCGAACTGGCTGGACCGAACCAGTTGAACCAGACTATCTGAACCGAACTGGACGAACCGGGTTGACTGGACCGGACGTAACAGCAAAGGACGACGGCGGCAACGGTGGCGGCAACGAATAACAGCGGTGACCGTTGTCGGTGACGAAGGATGGCGAGACGAAACCCACGAACAGCACTCGAAAAACAGCAGCGCTGGCGAATCAGCAAACAGTGACGGTCAGCGGCGGCGGTCGGCGGTGGTTGGCGGCGGTAGTAATAAACAAAATCTTAATGGATAAAAAACCCTAATGGGCATCAAAATCCTAATGGGCACAAAACCCTAAGTTAAAAATTTTTTTTTTGAAGAAACCTAGAGCTCTGATACCATGTTAATAATAAGAAAAGAAAATAATTCTTTCTTAATTACTCCAAATGGTTGATACAAGGCTATATAAATAGCAGTCACAAAAAAGAAACTAAAAAGAAATTCTTGCCTATTAGGATAAGGAAATACTTACCTATTAGGGCAATAAAACCCTAACCTAAATAAAATAGGAAACCTTTAAAATAAAATAAACTATAATTTAACAATTTGTTTTCCCAATTCAGTTTCTCAAGCTTGGTTTTTAATTCCATATAAATATACATAAGCCTGTATATATTTTGTATACATCCTGAACCAAATGAATGAAGCACACACTTTCCATTAGTCATTTTATTGTTTTTCTTGCAGATGTCTCACCTAATTTCAGCCCAATCACCGTGTGTGTTATGCAGAAGTGTCTAAGGTTGCTCAGCTCCGAATCTGTAACCTTCACCAGACCTGGGAAAGCAGTTATATCTAATTATGTGAGCAGTACGCTAAAGTATCTCCTGCAGACTCAGGTGCACATATTTTGTTATTAGGGTTTCTAGTAGGTTGTTTAGAAGTCTGACGTCTAGTTTTATTTTGGATAGGTTGATACACGATTGCTGGCCTCAGTGATTGAGTCTATCCTGTCTGAGATATTTGGTAACCATGGTCCTTTGGATGTGGATTTAGGAAGTTCAAACTGTGAGTGGAGACCATTGAAGAATTTATTTTTCTTTTCCCGCAGAATGTCTACTACTCATAGTGAAGATGTTTTTGCTGATCATCGTCATTTAATGAATGATGAAGAAAAAATTTGTAACAAAGAGTTTGATAAAATTGAAGCATCTTCTACTAGGTTTTCTACCTTTTTGAAGAGAGCGCCTTTTCATGTGCTGTTTCCTGCAATTATGTGCACTCATGGTCCCAGTTCTCTGGTACTTTCAAAGATTCAAGATTCCCTTCTGCTTAAACTAAATGAGTTGACATCTGATCACCTTCTATTACCATATCTGCGGCTTGTCCTATTTTGGGCTTATCAGATACGAATTTCTTATAGACTTAAACCTATAGTTGAACTCCAGCAGCTTTCCCAAATTTGCTTTACTCTTCTTCAGAACATCTTAGGTAAGCTACTAGCTTCAAGAACTCATTCTGCTACTGCTGAAGATTACAAGGGCCCTCTGTTAAGGTTAGAGGTTCAAGATGTAGCAGAAACTATCTTCTCTCATCCTGCTGTAGTATCATCCTTGTCCTGCCCCCTCACTTGTCAAGGGGACTTGATGAATGGTGCTATTGATTTAAATTTGGAATCTTTGATTCACTTATCTGGGAAGAACGTTAATACATTAGATTGTCACATTATCAACTTATTGACCACTTTTTGTGAGCATCTTTTAACCTCGTGTGATGGCCAGGATTCAACATCCAGAGAGGTAGTGGAGACTTTTAATTTTCTCATGCAGAGGCTATTTTCTGAGTTCAGGGATCGATTTGATCACTTTATTGATACAATGGATCCGATGCCACTTCTTCCCCCATTTTTTGCTTTACATGCTTTAAATCATTTTATATCACCTTGTGATCTTCTTGAATTAGTGACTTGGATATTCAAGAGAGTAAGTGTCAATAGTTGGGTGGTACAGAAATCTGACACGACCCAGATCCATGGTCTATCATTTGGATTTGGTATTGCTGTCATTGCTTTGAAAGATGTCACAAGCTATTTGCAGTTATCATTCCCCAGAAGAGTACCGTACAGTTTATTCTGGGAAATGGATGAGAAGAATGTCTGTAACATCGTTGATGAGATTTACACTAAAATAAATGCATTTGCAATACATTACAAGTCTGAGTTTTCAGATACATGCTTGCTTGAAGTGGTTAAGGCTATTTGTGCAAAGAAATACGTGCTATGTGATTATTTTAATCAAATACATTTAGCAATGTTCAGACTTATAATGATCATACCTAGTGAGTTGGTTTCTTATTGCATCTACAAGACTAATAAGGCAAAAGCTAGATTGTTGTTTACTCTTACTGAGGCTAGCTCCTTCCATTTGTCAATCTTTGGGCACTTTATGTTGGATATTATGAACAAGCATTCTTGTCACATGGACATTGAGATGGTAGATACTTTGAGCTTTCATTTTTCTGATGAGGAATTTTTGATGCTCCTGCCTACTTCTTTGTCATACTTGAATTCAGTTATTGTGAAGTTTGAAAAGAAATGCTGGTATAACTTCAAAAGTATCTCTTCAGTATATTCAGGAATTATTTTTCAAGGTTTACGTAAGTGGAAGCGCTTTGTGTCCAAAAGCATTTTCTATGAAGAATTTGGTGATTTAGTGCCATCATCCACTCAAGAATTTGTTGATCTTGTTAATGACAGTCTTCTTGGAAAAACAGTGAATATGCTAAGGCATCACTTTGCATTTAGTGGAGATCTGGTGACAGCAAAGAAGCGATTGAAAGTGTTTAATTCCATTTTCCCAGCTTCTTGTTCAGGTGATGAAGTTTTAGAATTTGAGGTTGATGAACTTGACTCTTATTCATCCAGTCAGGCATTAAATTTTTCCAACAAGGTTGTTGCAAAGATTTCATTTTGTAGGGTGTTGTTATTTCCAGAAGGCTACAGTATTCCCTCTTTGCCAAAAGAAGATGAGAATTCAACAGAAAATTCTTTAGCAAGAAGGTCAAATAAAGCAGAATCCTCAAGGTTGCAGTTTTTGAACATTTTGGCTAGCATCTGGCAGTGGATTGTGAAAAGATTTGCTTTCATCTCTGATATTCATGATAAAGAAATGGACAACTCAAGATTATTTAGATACTTGGAGCTTTTCATATTGAATAGCGTTCTTGAACTAAGCACAGAAATGCATGATGCGCTTGTCAAATTACCATCCATCCCCTTTCTAGAGCAATTGATGAGGCTTTCCCTCTTATATAGGTTCGAGGATCCAACAACATTAAACGTTCTTCATAATATTCTACATTTATTGTCTGATGGCAAGTTTGCAGAAGATTTATATTTGCAGCTGCTGCTTGCGCACTCTCAGTTTGCTCCCACTATCCATTCAACTCCAAGACCATCTTATTCCATTGAAACTTTTTTGAGGCCAATGTCCAGCATGCTAAGATCACTTGTCATACCACCATCTGATCAATGGGGAACCCATTGCAAGCAAGACTCAAAATCCACTCAGATAGACTTGAAACGCTTAGTAATTGTTAAGTTGGTCCACATACTTGTGCTGATGAAGGTACGTAAAGGTGGTTGTGGAAAACATGATACCATAAATTTCAGAGAATTGTACTCGCTGCTTCTGTCTTCTTATGGTGCCACTATCAGTGAAACTGACTCTGCTATCTTAAAGACATTAAATGAGATTGAAACTGTAGTTGGATCAGATGTAGAAAATCTAGTTCGAATGGATTTTTTATGGGGAAGTGCTATATTGAGAATTGCAAAAGAACGGCTTCTGGAGCAGGAATCTTCTTCAAATATCAGGAATGATGCTGAAGTACTCAAAGAACGTTGTAAAAATCAATTTAGAGAAAATCTTCCTGTTGACCCGAAAATGTGTGTGTCCACAGTGCTATACTTTCCTCATGATAGAACTGAATTTGATGAAGAATTGTACTCAAAGAAGTATCAAGTAAAGGATTTAGATGATCTCTTTAAGGTAACCTATAATTTTAATATCCTGTATGACATAGATCAAAAGGCATATTTTTACAATTAGTTTATATTTGTCTGTTCCAAATGAATACTCTATTGCAATGATACAGGGAAATTTTCATGGTATCAAACCTGAACAATATGATCCGGTTTATGTCTTGCGGTTTTCAATTCATGCTCTGTCAATGGGATACATTGAAGCTGTTGAATTTGCTACTTTGGGTTTGCTTGCAATTGCATTTGTTAGCTTGTCTTCAGCTAATGACAGATTAAGAAAATTAGGGTATGAAAGTCTTGGGGCATTAAAGGATGCGTTGGAGGTAATTCTAATATTCTTCTTAAATATGGTTTCTGGTTGATTTGGGGTGCAGATGATACTTGAACTGATGGTCGAAATCTGGTACAGTGCATTCCTTAAAAAATGTGTATGTATCACTTTTAAAAGAATTTAATAGTGGAACGCCTATTAGAACTCAGATAAAAAAAGTGAGGAAATATGTGAAAACAATGAAACCACATTTAGGTGCATAAAAGTAGGGTTGAACTTAGCAGGAATAAGAAGGTTCATGCAGCTTTCTATTTTGCTCTTGTAAGTGTTTACTTATGCTTTAGAAAAATGTTTACTTGGGGATTTGGTTATACGGTATATTTCATTAATGGAAAACCAAATGTCGGACAACTTGTCATGATTAAATTCAGTTATGCTTCGCATAGCTCAAAGGGTGAAGTGTAAATATACTTAATTCAGTTTGAAGGTGTCACGGCTGATATTTAACGGGGGATTGAGTTGAGACACTATATACACTTGTTAGGTTTTTAACTGGGTTGTCAGTGGGTTCTTTTTGCCAAAGAAACAAAACTTAGGAAGGTGAAAAGGAAGATAAGATGTCTACACCCAACCCAAGTCGAGAAAGATTATTGTTTGTATTTCTCTTTCTATTTTCCCTTTAAGGTTTATGAGTTTTTCCTCTCTAATATTTTACAGCCAAAACCTTTTTCTTTGCAGAACTGTAAGAGGAGAAAGGGTACCATGAGACTTCGGCTCCTCTTAACATATGTGCAAAATGGCATTGAAGAGCCATGGCAGAGAATTCCTTCCATCATTGTTCTTTTTGCTGCAGAGGCATCCTTTATTTTGTTGGAACCATCCCATCATCATTATGCAGCATTAAGTAAGTTTTTGGTGCGATCTTCCAGGATGAATAAGAAGGTAACACTTTTGTGAACTATGAATGTCGTGCAATTTTTGGTTAGCAGTTTAATGTTTTAAAATAAGAATTCAGTGATAAAATGTATATGATGGGATGAACATGAAAACAAAAGAAGTTTTTTAGACAAGCTCTTTATTTCATATTTGTTTGCTGTCGCAGTTATATTTTCTTTGCACATTCCATATTTCTGTTATACAGACTTGGTGATAATTCATGTTTGAAGCCCGTTTCTTTATTTCCTATTTGCAATTGCAGTCCATTCCTCTGTTTAAGAACTTTCTCTGGAGCAGCTCAGTAAACTTCAAATCTGAAAGGTTATGGATATTGCGTCTAGTTTACGTGGGTATTAATGTCGATGATGATGCCCGGTTATATATAAAGAACTCAATTCATGAGGATCTGCAAAGCTTTTATGTCTCGCCCCTTTCAGACAATGAGTCTAAGGAGCTTATCCTTCAGGTAAATCAAGTTCATGGGTGTGCAAAGCTTTCATGTTCTTATTTTAATTAAGCCTTTTTTCCCTTCTTTTTTTTTTTGAGAAGAAACAATTTCATTGATGATATGAAATTAGAAGTACCTCTCCAATTGGAAGCCATGAAAGAAATGCTAAAGTGATGAAAGAGAGGGAACTTTACACCAAGACACAACTAGATATACTATAGATTCAAAATAAACGATCAAAAGAACAATCTAACGAACTTTTCATTGAATTTATGAAAAGGAACAAAAATTGTACAAAGATACAAACTCCCAAGGGAGTGAGAAAGAAAGCAAGAAAAATTAAAGAAATAACAAAAGATCAAAATAAAGGCAAGAACAATTACAACTTTGGGGAAGAATTAGCATGATCTTCAAATGAGTTGGAGAGAGCACACCAGAAGCTTTGAATTTGGCCATATTGAAGCAATCCACAGAAGGTAGCTCTTTGTCTTGAAAAATCGTATGATTCCTTTCTAACCAACTAGCCCAGAAAAATGCTTGAACAAAATGCAACAAAGGATCTTTTCTCCTTTTTGAAAGGGTGACGAGTTGAATGCAGAGAGAATTTTTTCCATAAGCTTGCTGTAAAAGTGCAATTTTTAAAGATGTGGCCTTGAAACTCACTGCTGTTTTTACAAAGAACACACCAATTGGGGGAAATATCCATAAAACTCATTCTCCTTTGGAGCTTGTCATGAGTGCTGATAGCTTTTAGGCTAACCTCCCATAAGAACTTCACCTTTTTTGGTTAACGATCGCTCTATATTACTTTATGAATGGGGGAGTCATCGTCATTCCTCGTATTTTGCATCAAATGACGAAGCAGAGGCTGGAGGTTGTTGTCATAAATTTTACTCTTGCTTGTTATGTTATGTGGCATATTCTGTGTACCAGGTGTGTTAAATACTTAACTTGAACCATTCATATCATTAGGATATTCACACAATTTAGATTCTCATCCCTTTTTCCCCAACCCAACCCAACCCATCCCAAGTCCCATCAAAGTTATGGTCAGTGATGTTACTCACATTGCAACTATTGGTTAGAAGTTTGTAATTTCAGTTAGATATTTATCTAATTTCATCCCTTGGTATAAGCAATATTCATAAGATTTGCTCATTAGGGAAATAGAGGAAAACTATGGAGTTCCTTTGGTGTTTCTCTAATTTTTCTTTTTAAATTGTTTTGGTATGTTGATCTTTGAAAATTGTTTCTATCATTTTTAAATTAGAAAAATTTATTTAGAAAGATATCTTTTATCTTTGTTTCTTATTTACTTCTATATGTTGATATGAAAATATAATACATTTTAAACAAGTAATACTTAAAAAGAAATTAATGATCATATATAAACTATCAATAAAGGAATAGTTGAAAAAAACAATTAATAAAGGAAACAAATAAAAACAGCAAAATATTGTTTTTGCTTCTGTTATGACAATTATTTTGAAGACTACCATGCTAAACAAGTTTTGAAAAAAGTATTTTTAATTTAAAACATAAAACTGCTTTTTACATATAACTTCCAAACAACCTCTAAGTAGTGTTTTCAAGACTATCAAAATGATGAAGAAGCATTAGAGCACGTGAAAAAAGTAAAGGGATTTTGGAGAATAAGTTCAAAACCCATAGGCCACCTACCCAGATACTAAAATTTTATGAGCTTTTTGACAACTAAATATTGCAGGGTATGCGGTTGTCAAGTGAGATTAGTTTAGTTGCGTGTAAGTTGGTCCAAACATTCACAGATATAGAAAAGAAGATTATTTGAAGAAGTGTTGAGCAAAAAAGTTAACAAGCAACAAATTCCACGATAATAGGCATCTGTGTTACAAACAAAGAGGTTGAAGAAGTGACCAGGTTAATTGTATTTGTAGGTGCCGGAAGGGGGTTTTGTGATGTAGTTAAGTAGCTGCTTCATAGCTTTTCTTGTTTATTAGCTACTGTTATAGCTTTTATTTTAGTACTTTTACTGCACAGTGACAATAGTTACTCATGTAATTCTTAAGCTTGAAACCTCTATAAATAGGTTTCAGCCTTTTAATGAGAGGGCATTGAATCATTTCTTAAAAACCTTGTGAAGTGCTGCATCATTTTGCCTATCTCCTATACTACGCTTTCTTTACATGGTAATCCTATGTGAAAAAAAGTAAGGGATTTTGGAGAATAAGTTCAAAACCCATCGGCCACCTACTCGGACAATAAAATTTTATGAGCTTTTTGACAACTAAATATTGTTGGGTCAGCGGTTGTCAAGTGAGATTAGTTTAGTTGCGTATAAACTGGTCCAAACACTCATAGATGTAGAAAGATGAAGAAGTATTGAGCATGAAAGTTAACAAGCCACAAAGTCCACCACAATAGGTATCTGTGTTGCAAAAAAAGAGGTTGAAGAAGTGGCCAGATTAATTGTATTTGTCGGTGCCGGAAGGGGGTTTTTCCTATCTCCTATACTATGCCTTCTTTACATGGTAATCCTAGGATTTCCACCTTCTGGACACTAGTGTTAGAAAGATTCTCATGTTGGCTGTTGCAATCACCTCTCTCAAAAGGAGGAACATTAGCTCTAGTGCCGGCAATTCTAGCAAATCTCCAACCTACTTCTCAGTTTTCCAGAGACCCATTTAAAGTGGCAAACGAGAAGGAAAAAATCTTTAGGAGTTTCTTATGGGATGAATCAAACATAGATTGTGGCTTTCACCTTCTGAATTGAAAAATGTCTTCTTTCTACTCAAGTAGGTGAATATGTGTAGGTGTCATAAGAATGAGAAATGGTGCATTGTTGGCCAGATTCCACCTTGAAAACAAGGATTTCTGGTATGATGTGGTGAGAGAGCAAATAGAGGGGGTTGTAAGGAGATCAATTGTTGGGTCGGTTCTTCAGATCTTTGAGGTGGCTTGGGTCCGTAATAGGGATTGTGGGGCAATGTTGGAGGAAGTGCTTTTGTCTCTTCCTTTTTGTGAAAAAGGGAATTTTTTGTGGCAAGCTTGTTTCTTAGCTATCTCGTGGGGGATTTGGATTGAGATAAATAATAGAATCTTTAGGGGAGTGGAAAGATGCAAAGAGTCAGTCAGTTTGAGATCTTATTAGATTTATTGTCTCTTTATGGGGTCAGTTTTGGAGTTTTGGAGTTGATCTGTAATTATCAGTTAGGTTTTATTCTTTTGGATTGGAGGCCATTTCTTTAGGTGGGTTTCTTCCTTGCGGGCTGTTTTTTTGCATGCCCTTGTTCATTTGCTTTTGTTTTCATTTGTCTCTATGAAAAGTTTGGTTTCTCATTTAAAAAAAAAAGGAGAGGAGATTAATTGTTGGATAGCAGTGGACAGGGAAACTGAGGTTGGCCTTGCAAGTCTTTCCTAAATCTCATAAGTCTGATAACAGAGTCTTCTTTGGGGCTGAGGTAACAAGGTAAATTTCTTTTTTCAAATCAACGGTACAACTCCCCTCTGTTTAAGGTGACTTTCCCAAGGCTTTACAACATTGACAACAATAAGTTTGGACAGACCTCTGGTACTTGAAACATTAATCAAAAGACAAGTATAAGCGACGTTGAGGTGGAGGAATGGATTTTGGTTGATGAAAAAAGATATGTTCCTACTTAGTCTAATACTAAAAAGGATAAAATGGAAATGGTTAAAGAGTTCCGTCCCATAAGTCTCACCAATGTTTTAAAAATCGGTCAAGGCATAAGCCTTGAGGCGCGCCTTGAGGCGAGGCGACTGTATCATCCCTCAAGGCTTACGCCTGTAACAAATAAAAAGAAGCTTACGCCTTAGATGACAAAGGCGTAAGCCTCTGTTCTTAAGCCTTTGAGGCTTAAAAGGCGTTAGCCTCAAATGAAAATGGTCTTTGGCGGTGGTGGGTGAAATTAATAAGGTGGTGTAATTACCAAGGTGGTTTAGTGCTCTGACAGAAAAATAATTGCCTTAGACATTTGTTTGATATATTATTTTAAACTTAAAATCTTATTATCCTATAATTAATTAGCAACCTAGACCAAACTAAAAGACAAACTAGGTTTGTCTTGATTTGTTACAATGAATAAAAATGTAAATCAGCAATGTTATAATTTTATTTTCCTTCTCTTTCTCTCCTATCTACTCTGTTTTGCTTTGTTTTTTCTTTTTTCTTTTGGTTATTACATACTGTATTAAGGGTAGCAAGTTTTATTCTTCTCTTTTTTTAGTTTTGTTTTTCCCTTTTTTCCTCTCTTTTTTCACCTCAACTTGTTTTCCAAATTTTTTCTTGATTTATTTTTTGTTTTTTAGTGATAATGATTCTGAAATGTTAGTATATATGTACATTAATGGACTATTGAGATATTTCTTTTTGTTAGAATTTTTAAGTATGTTTTGTACTTTTATAATACAAACTTTAAAATTTTTATGATTTCTTATTTAAAATGAGGCCTATGCCTCATACCGCCTCGAGGCTTACGCCTCACCTCTCATTGAGAAAAAGCCTTGAAGCCGCCTTAAGACTTTTAAAACATTGAGTCTCACAACTACCACTTATAAAATATTGGCCAAAGCATTAGTTGAAAGATTTCGTAAAGTTATACCTGATACAATATCTTGCAATCAAAGTGCCTTTTTGAGTGGAAGACAAATACTTGATCCCATTCTAATAGCCAATGATATTGTGGATCATTATAGAACCAAAAAGAAGAGTGGGTGGATTCTAAAGCTAGATCTTGAAAAGGCTTTTGACCTAGTAGATTGGGATTTTCTGTCAGAGGTGCTAAGCAGAAAAGGTTTTGGGCAGAGATGGATTTCATGGATTAATGGGTGCATTAGAGACAACAAATTTTCCATCTTCATTAATGGAAGACCAAGAGGAAGAATCCTTGCTTCAAGAGGCTTAAGGCAAGGTGATCCTCTTTCTCCATTCTTGTTCTTAATTGTGAGTGACGCTTTGAGCAGTTTGTTGGAACACATATACTCTATAGGAGCATTTGAAGGATTTACTGTTGGCCGGAATTCAGTGCATATTTCACATTTGCAATTCGCCGATGATACACTATTGTTTTGCAAAGACGATGATGATATGTTGGCTGTATTGTTTGACACAATTAAAGCCTTTGAA